AAAAGTAATACTGCTACTTTATTATGTGGCATGTATATAGGATATTGTGGGTAATAGGAATATGTTGCATTTGGGGCCGAATGAAAGCGCAGTTAGAGAATACATAAATATGTATGTTGTTAATTGATTTTTTGGATCCCCAATCTAATGTCCAATATGTTGTTGGTTGGCTAGTTATCATAGCTTTGACATGGTATCAAAACTATATTTTGATCTTGACTTGCGATTCATGGGTAACTATACTTCCAATAATGTCATGGTCATAAATATTATGGTTTTAACATTTGTTGCTAAATGATGCTGTGTGAGATTGTCATTGGGCCCACAACTAATGAGGCTTGAGTAAACGTTTTCTAGCCCAAATTGTTTAATAGATTAAATGTTAATATCTGATTTTCAAAAGTAACTACAGGACTAGCCTGTGCTCTATCCTGACCCACAATTATATTAGCCCATCTTTCATCGGCTCTTGTTGATGGCTTTTAGAGCCAGCTTGAATAGACTAAGATAGCAAGACAATTGGCCGTTTGCTTATCCCTAATTTAGACGTTAAAATCATATGTTGCCAAAACAAAAAAGATGTTAAATCATATGAGACTAATTCTCTAACAAGAGTGTGATGAGTTATGAATACTTTATAATATATATATATATATATATACATACATACATACATACATATATTTATTATTAATCAAGACTAGGGCTGCACAAAAGACTGGACGGGACTAAACTTTAGCCTAACCCGGAGTCTAGTCCTTTTCATGAAAAGGATTGGGTTAGATAACTCGTAGTCCGGTCTGATCCTGTAAAAACTCGGAGATTAACAAGACTGGACTTGGTCCATAAGACTGGGAGACTGATCCTGTTAGTCCAATACTCACTTGGCCTTTTTTTTTTCTCTATGATGACCAATAATCTATTTCAACTTAACAAACTCAATTAAAATAATAAAAATACTTATAATCATAATAAATCCATAATAATTTCTAACACCAAGAAAATAATATTTTAGTTACAGTCCAAACTCCAAATGATTTAAATACATAACTTCAATAAAAAATTAAAGGAAAGACCGAAAATAGACCAGAGGAAAAAAAATCAGCAAGAACAGAAGTAATAAAAATCAACCTACAGACATGTTCCTTCAAAGTTTGAACAGATCAAGATCAGAGTGCAAAGTGCAAGGTAGGGGCTAGGGCTTTCGCACACTGAAAAAATTGAGAATGAAAGCAAAGTTGAGTGAGTGGCTGAGACGTTAAGTGCTGTTAAGTAACAGTGTTGGGGTTTTTTTTTAATCAGAGTGCAAAGTGCAAGGCAGGATTAAGACTTTTTTTTCTAAGGCTTATTAATTAATAATTTATAAATTAATTTTAATTATATTAAAATAATTATATAGGACCAAACCGGACCACTTAGTCCAGATGCTTGGTCTCTAGTTTGGTCTTACCCAAAAAATCAGTCCTGTCTTTTCGGTCTTTTTGGTCCTATAGGACCAGCATTTTACAGGATTAGACAGGACTGAATTTTCATGGGTCGGACCGGACCGAACGAGACTACGAGACTTTTGCACAGCCCTAATCAAGACTATCAAATTGTTGTATAATAATTAAATTTAAAAGTAATATAGCTTCTTAATGTCTAAAAAAATAATGTACTTATTGATCATCAAATTACATTGTCATGTTTTCCAATCAACGACGGTACTAATAATTAATAATTTTGAAGGAAATGATTGCTTCATTTATAGCTATAGGATTGAGTTTCTTGAAGCCCTTCACATTTTTGCTTGCTCTGCATTGCTCATGGAGATTTTCCACCTCCAATGTTAGTTGATAAATACATGTAACAAGATTAAAATTAGTAGATGTACTAATAGTGATTTGGTTGAGTGGAAATGGCTTAACTTCATTTAAGATTCAAACCTTATGAGTGAAAAAAAAATCTTAGAAGAAGAATATAATATATCTTATAATTATGTCCAGACAAAAAAAAAAAATTGCCACGCAATAGTCTAAACCAATAGAAACAAAACAAAATAGGATAACCAAAACCAATAAAATTTATCGTTTGCAAGGTTACATGTTTAATACAAGACTTCTATTTATAAAGGTCTAACAGTAAAATGTTGTAATGACATAATCATGTAAATAAGAAAAATTATTTACAATTAATGGCAGTTAGGAAGTAGAAGGGGCTAATTCCTTATAATATGAAAAATAAAGATTTAAATTTTCATGGAAAGATGTGTCCATATTTAATATCTATCCATGCTTCGAACAAGATTGACTCCAATAAAAGTAATAAAAAAATAAAAATTATTTACCTAGTAGTAAAATATGACACCCTTACAAGTTACATTTTTTGTTCTATTTACAAGACATTTTTAATATATTTTAACAAAATAAAGGAAAACCTTAAAACTTTGTATAGAAATTTAAGAATTTTTTAACTTAGTCCTTATTAAATATATATACTTTTATAACATATTTTCTCTTTTTAACATTCAATATTAGTCAAATGAAAAATTTGTAATGAAAATTTAATGAAATAACTTATAAATAGGATAAAATTTTTTTCTCTTTATCTTATAAATAAAAACTAGATGGAGTATCTTTTAGTATTCAACATGCATACTATCCAAAAAGGGATATGAAATACTCCCTCCGATCTTATTTGTAAGATACCACACTTTCTAGTGAGGCTATGCAAAATTCCTTTGATCTTGTCTGGTCTAATCAAATTCGAGATAAATTAGCTTGATTCAATCTGAATAAAAATTTATCTTTCAAAACCAAAAAAATCAAAAGACTAGACTCTTTTTTGGATTAGACTGGAAAAGAGATCGAGCATGTGGATCATTTGGTCTGGTTCAATCCTATAAATTTATTTAATATAATTATAATTAATTTATTAATTATTATAATAAGTTAATTTATAATAATAATTAGTAATTTTTGTGTCTTATGCTTGTGAAGTCAGGGATATTGAGCAAAATTTTAGCATTAAAATCTTTCCTTTTTATTAGTGAAATTTATTGTTAACTTAGTATAATGGACTTTAGATATGTTAAAGGTTGTTTAATTTGAATTCTATGTGTTGTAACTAAAATATTTTTTGTTGAGCGGGAATGAAGTTTATATTAAAACAACTGTACAGAGTACAAACAGAAACAATTAAGAAGGGCAAAAAGTTATTACATCAAAATATGAAAAGTTGAAAAAGCTCTCAGTGCATGGTCAATAAAAGCTCTAACTTGGCAAAGGATTTTGTCAGAAGTGAAGGATTCCCCTGTGAAAATGCATTTGTTCCTTGCATCCCATAGTTTCTAGCACATAATACATATTCCAATCTTCCAAGAGATATCTATAGAATCATCATGCAGAAGCATTTTGAACCAAGTGTGCAAAGTTGTCGTATAAAAATCAGCACACATGTCAAGTGGCAGGACTTTATTCCAGACAGTAGCAGGTAAATTAGAATGTTTGAAAACATGATCAATGTTCTCTATAGGAGCAGTACAGAGAATGCAGGTCTGATCTAATGTCATATGCCTACGATACCTCTCAGTATTAGTAAGCAACTTGCCTTTTAACAAAAGCCACATGAAGGTCTTCACACGTTATGCAATAGGTAATTTCCAGAGTTTCTTCTAGTTAATATCAGTTTCAATCTGATGTAAAAAATGAGAAGCTTTATACATTGATTTAATGGTAAAGTTTCCTTTAGGATTAAGACTCTAGAAGCAAGAGGGCTTTGCATTATCATTGATATTGATGCTTTTATCTACAGTATCTTTAAGACAAGATGGTGGTAGTTAGTGTTGGAAGAGAGTCCATTTCCATTGGCCATTTGCATCTAAAAAATCAGAAATTGGTTTTCTGAGTTCAGATTCAGAGATATCAGCAAAGGAAGGAGTTTTAAAGGACCAGAGTCACCAATCTAATAATCAGACCAAAACCTGACCTCTTTGTCATTCCCAGGGTTCCACTTCACATGATTCAATGTATCCAGCCAGATTTTTGCAATATTCCTCCAAAGGTATGAGGATTTACATTTGCTTATATCCTGTGGGGATCTATCAAAACATCTGTACTTGCTTCTTAGAACTTGAACCTAGAAAAGGTTTGGTTCAGAAATGATTTTGTAGGCAAGTTTGGAGATGAAAGCTTCATTTTGAGCCTCTAAATTGAACAAACCACAACCACCATTAGCTAAGGGTTGACACATCTCAGACCATTTAACCAAGCTAATCCCATGATGTTCGTTTGAATATCCCCATATAAATTTCTTGATAGCTTTCTCAATTGACTTGCAGCAAAGAGTGAGAAGTAAAGTACTCTGCATCATATAATGCGGGATAGAGCTAATTACAAACTTAACAAGTGTAATACGGCCTGCAAGTGAGAGAGTTTGGCATTTCCAACCTGAAAGCTTATGATTTATCCTCTCCAAGATATAACTATAAGTTTTGGATGTGACTCGTCCATTTATCAGGATTGCTATAGATTTATAATTATTGTTGTTGTGATAAATTTTATATGATTATAAGTAATTTTATTATATTAATTGAGTTTATTAAGTTGAAATAAATTACCTAACTCATAGATAAAACAGGAAAAAAAAAAACAAAGTGAGATACTAGATAAGATTGGGATCATTCTCCTAATCCTATAGGGCTAGTTCAATCCTATTTAACTTTGGCTTATACCAAAACCGAGTAAAACTATGGGTTATCTAACTCAATTCTTTTTGTGAAAAAGACTAAGCTTTGTGTCAGGCGAAAGTCCTATTCAATCTACCTTTTGTGTAGCCTTACTTTCTTGAAGTAAATTTTGATCTAAAATAAAAGTTGTATCATGATTTAAAGTAAGGATGAAAATAAAAGTATATTTCATTTTTTGATATGATATTATGCACGAAACGATCGGAAAGGGGTATATGTAAACTATGGCCATCCAACAAGATATTTTCATGGATTTTACATTCTCGTCCTTATTTGTCCTACTTATATTTCAGTCTTCACAAATTTCATTCATTCATTATCCAGACTTGGAACTCCCCCGCATGCGTTCATGTGAGTCTCAATCCATTCTTTTCTTCCGTGGGTACTTGCTATACTTCTTCATTTGGTGCCATTTTATAAGTTCTCAGTAATCTTCATTTGTTGCAGTAAGAATACCATTGCCGGTGAATCTGTAATTGTTTTAACTTCTCAACACCTGTTACGCCTGTTTGACGTTTAATGAAATTGCTTTATGCTGTTTTGCAGGTTAAACTGTGCTTGCACTCTGAATAATAGACTTATAGAACCAAGGAATTGCATTGGTGATTTCGAATGGAAAGCAAATGACTCCAATGGTGGCCCCTTGAAGAAGTACAAGCAAGACAGCTTCTATATTGACAAACGTGGCAACTTAAGAACTTTCAATCACAAGCAGTTGTCTCGGAAAAGATGTATAACTGAACACCAAATTGTACTTTGTTTTTTTTCCCCTCTGTGATATATGCTGGAGCGTATCATTCAATAACATTTGTGATTTCTTTGGAGCAGGTGGCTCTTTGAGAGGACGAGGATGGAAATATGGGTCTGGATTTGTTGATGGAGTTTTCCCAGTTTTAAGTCCAGCTGCGCAGCAGATTCTGGACTATGTCCAGAAAGAACTGAATACTGAGGAGATTTGGAGTTCACTTGATACGCTTCCTGCTTCTCTTTCCACATGGGATGATGTATTTAATGTAGCTGTTCAGCTCCGAATGAGAAAACAGTGGGATTCAATCATTTCAGTAAGAAACTTTTCTACTCTTTCTTATATGTTGTTCAACCCGTTTTTTTCTGTTGTAATTACTTAGTTATACCTCGTAATTACTTAGGCTCTATCTCAACTATTCTGGGATATTTTTTCCTATTTGGCTTGCAATTTGCTATATAGTTCTTATAGCAGAGACAAGAGAAGAGGTTAATTGCAAACTTGAGTTATGGAGGAGGACATTGGAGTCGAAAGGTTTTCGTCTGAGTAGAAGTAAGACGGAATATTTATATTGTAAATTTGATAAAGGACTATTCGAAAATAATTTGGAAGTGAAATTGGGAGATCAAATTATACCTCAAGTGGAAAAGTTTAGATATTTGGGAGCCATTATCCAAAATGATGGCGAAATCAGTGGAGATATTTCACATAGAATTCAAGCTGGGTGGTTTAATTGGAGAAAAGCTAAAGGAGTTATTTGTGACCGTAAGGTGCCTAATAAACTTAAAGGAAAGTTTTATCGTACTGCTATCAGACCGGCAATGTTATATAGTAGTGAATGCTGGGCTCTAACGGGACAGCAAGAGCATAAAGTTGGAGTAGCAGAGATGAGAATGTTACGATGGATGTGCGGACATACACGTAAAGATAAAATTCGAAATGAGCACATACGTGAAAAAGTGAGGGTGGCACCTATTGAGGAAAAAATGGTAGAAAATCGGTTGAGATGGTTTGGGCATGTACAAAGAAGACCAAGGGAGGCACCAGTGAGAAGAGTGGAACATATAACTTTGAGTCCGATTAAGAGAGGTAGAGGAAGGCCTAAGAGAACACTCTTGGAAGTTGTTGAACGTGATCTCTTAATTAATAATATTTCTAAAAGCTTAATAAATGATAGAGCACAATGGCGTCTTGCAATCCATGTAGCCGACCCCACCTAGTGGGATAAAGGCTTGTTGTTGTTGTTGTTGTTGTTGTTGGCTTGCAATTTGCTATTTATCGCGCATAACACAGTCTTCTGTGCAGTTATGTCAATGGATACTGTATAGGAGCTCCTTTAAGCCTGATGTCATATGCTACAACTTACTCATCGATGCGTTTGGGCAAAAGTTGCAATACAAGGAGGCAGAATCCACTTATCTGAAACTTCTTGAGGCACACTGTATACCTACTGAAGATACCTATGCTCTTCTGATAAAGGCTTATTGCATGTCTAGTCTGTATGGGAAAGCTGAAGCCGTTTTTGCTGAGATGCGAAATTATGGCCTTCCTCCAAGTATGAAGCTTAATCAAATGATCGTCTATTTACACTGAATCAGATGAATCATGAAAGATTTTAACACCTGAGTGAAATAAATCATAACCAATTGCTTAACTTATTGAGCTTTTTAGTTGAATTAGTATTTAACATGGTATTAGAGTCTCTATGACCAAGTGGCCCTGAGTTCAATCTTTTCCTACCAGTCTTCATAATTAAATGAAATTTCAGCACAATGAAGGTGGGGCTGTGCTTTGATCACATTTCATGCCCGATAAACACTTGTGTGATGGAGCTTGTGAATTATTTACTGGCTTTTGCTAAATAACAATTTAGGCCTGTGAATTTGAATGGCCATTTAGTATTCTAGGATTATGTTACATTTAAAAATCCATGTAGCTGAGTATATTATTAGGTTGTTCAATGTCAATCTTAATTTTCCCTCATCAATCACTGTCAATCTTTTGATTTCCGAGAAATATGCTATAGCCTTCTTCTAATCCCCTCCTGGTTCATGTATGAGTTAGACTTGTTGACGAGGAATTAAGAAAGTTGCAGTACCAACTGTTGGTGCAGACTATTCTTCCTTGTTTATCTGTACTATGACAGTGACAGTTTTGTTTTTGTTCTTCCTTTTTAACATTTCTTTCTTGGCAATTTATTTATGCTGGGATACTGATTGCTAGGGTGTTTCTAAAAAAGGAAAAAATATTTAATGTTCTCTTTTTCTGGACAATTATAATTTTGACGAGCATCCTTGTTTAAGGTTTTAGGCATTAGGGAGGAAATACAATGTACTGGGGGAAGTCCCATGTAGAGCAGAAAAACTTCAATATTATTATCATACTCCATGTATAGTAAGCTTCTGCAGTCAAACTCTGTATGTTCTCAAGTTTACTAGACATCACATGATTACATATTTTAAGAGAACTTCTGATATACACATCCATATGTATTATTAGATATTCATGAAAATACATTTAATCTTTGAAGCTAGCTAATTAGTTTTTGGACTGAAAAACTCAGGTGCGGTTGTATTCAATGCATATATTGATGGGCTAATGAAAGGCCAAAATCCCCAAAAAGCTGAAGAGATTTTCCAGAGGATGAGGAGGGATGGCTGCAAGCCAACTACTGAAACATATACCATGATGATAAACTTATATGGAAAGGTAAGATAGTTAGGTTCATTTGAAATAAAATGTCATTGTTATGAACATGCTGGCAATAAGCTTTCCAAATGATCTCATGGTCTACGAAAGTAGTTTATTGCTGAAACTCATATGTGGTCTACAAGTAGCAGTTGCAGAGGATTTGGTGCTGATTTGGTTGTTTGGTGCTCTGAAAAGCAGCTTCATCCAACTTTTCTCACACTTTACCTCTGAATAGACTTATTTGAGGGAAGCTAGTGATCTTGTTCTTATAATGCCCCCTTACATCCTCAAGTGTAGTATTCAGCGCTAGTAAGAACTTATATACCCTCTTTCTCCACACAATTCACTTGAGGTTGGCCGCATCAATGATGCAACTCCATGTTTAAGACATGCAAGCTCATTGATTTGCTGCCAATATCGTTTAAGGAGGGATAATGGATTACAGACCTATCTCCCTGTTCAGTTCATACCGGGTCTTCCATCTTGAACGACTCAGCCATGTTTAATTGGTCATTTGGTTGAGTAGGTTTCTTGAGGATCCTCCCAATCATCTCTGCAGTGTCAAACAGAAGCAAAACTCTCCTTTATTTTGTTATTCGTGAAATTAATATGTCAAGCATCAAGCATCACCATGGTAATCTTGGCTTTCTATATTTTGAAATTTGGATCATTCTTCTAAGGATGGAGCACTTCTAGTCAAGTAATCTTCTTCCCATGTTGTGATATATATTCACACAAATTGACCCCATTGGAGAAAATTGAGTCTGTTGTGTTTGTGCCCTGTGATGAGCAGTTGTCTATTTTGCCATGGCTGGTAGTCTTGGCAATATCAGAAGAGGACCCATCCTTTTCAGAGTTCATGGTTTTTTGGAATATGTATTTTGGCATCTGGTTGGTTCAAGCCAATCTGACTTTTGAAACAAAATGAAGTTACTTAAAAGCTAATAAATCAAGCATGATGTTATTAGATAATGGGAGATTCAAAATAACAATAACGTGTTATCCACTGATTTGATTCACATACTTGGCACTCCTGGTTGTCACGTTCATTTATAACTTTTGCGTGCACACATCTATTCCCCCTTTTTTGGGACAGAATACTGATTCTGAATCAGCTCAAACTATAGTTACAGATGCATGATGCAAACTTGTTTTGCTTGATGATGCTGTGACAACAATGTTTAAGTCATCACTTCATCTGCATGTCCAAATAATGTTATTTTCCTCTAATTATTTATGCTTTGAAATTGAATTTTGTACAGGCAAGCAAATCCTCCATGGCCCTAAAATTGTTCCATGAAATGAAGAGTCTGAAGTGTAAACGAAATATTTGCACGTATACTGCCATGGTGAATGCATTTGCTAGAGAGGGACTGTGTGAGAAGGCAGAAGAAATATTTGAACAAATGCAAGAAGCTGGGCTTGAACCAGATGTGTACGCTTATAATGCCCTTATGGAAGCTTACAGGTTGGTATGCAGTATATTCTTATGAATATTAAAATTTAATCCTTATAAATTGATTTCTGATTTCTTAGGTCTTATGAAATTTTTTGAAGATGTATAAATGAATATGTTAGCAACTAGAACTCTAGTATTTTGGGTTCAAAGTGACCCATGGCAGGGGTGGAGCCAGGATTTAACTATGAGGGAGTCTGAGATATAAAAACATATGTACTACAAAGCTTTCATAAATCTTGGGAGACCTGAAGCATAAGGATTTGAACCAGTTGGGTGTAGTGAGAAACTAGAAAATAAATAAATGACCTGAGAAGACCCTGAATTTGTTCTCAAGAGATGCACAATGCTTGCCACAGTCGAATTTATGATCATAGCTATAATAGTAATTTATACTATAAAATGTCATGCTTCCTGACATACTGCAACAGTCGTGCAGGTTATCCATATGGGGCTGCAGAAATTTTTTCACTAATGCAGCACATGGGATGTGAACCAGATCGAGCATCATATAATATCTTAGTTGATGCCTATGGGAGATCAGGTCTTCATGAAGGTAAACTTGTCAACTTTTGTTTACACAAATGGACTGTTAACTATCTTATATAGTCTTTCTTTGAAAGATGTCCTTTTATGAAATGTAGAGGCAGAAGCTACCTTTGAAGAGATGAAAAGAGTAGGAATCACACCAACAATGAAGTCCCATATGGTTCTTTTGTCTGCCTACTCGAGAACAGGCAATGTTGGTAAATGCGAGGACATTCTCAACCAAATGCATAAATCTGGCCTGAAACTAGACACTTATGTTCTCAACAGTATGCTAAACTTGTATGGAAGGCTAGGCCAATTTGAAAAGATGGAGGAAGTACTGTCAGTAATGGAGAAAAGATCACATTTAGATGATATCAGCACATACAACATCTTGATAAACATGTATGGACGAGCTGGTTTTATTGAGAGAATGGAAGAGCTATTCCTGTCTCTTCATGGCAAGGATTTAAAACCCGATGTGGTGACTTGGACATCTCGGATTGGAGCTTACTCTAGAAAGAAACTCTACGGCAGATGCTTGGAAATATTTGAAGAAATGGTTGATTCTGGTTGTTACCCAGATGCAGGAACTGCTAAGGTACTACTAGCAGCATGTTCCAATAAGGATCAAACTGAGCAGGTCTCTACTGTAATTAGAACAATGCATAAGGATTTGAAGACTGTTTTGCCAATATGATTTTTGCTTTGTTATTGTATGAATGGATAGTTTTTTTTTACAATAGAGGGCTATGCCCATAAACAGTAAAAATTAAACAACATTAGGGGATTTAATTCCCAAGCTTTCTTCCAGCACTAATTCCCTCACAAATGGGGGAATTGAATCACAAACAAGAGGGTCAGATCCTTTTTTTGGCCAGTACATCTGCCACCATGTTTTGCATCCTGGGAGCAAAGGTCACCACTACTTCCCAGTTGAATCTCAATAAATTCTGAGCATTTAAAAAAACCAGACTACCGCTGTAATGGTTCCCATGAGGATTATTTATAAGCTCTACTAGGTTCTTGCAATCTGATTCAATGATTCCCCGCCTGAAACCCATTCCCCACGCCATCTGAAGACTTCTAAGAATAGCCCATTCCTCTGCTTCAAATGGGTTGCAAGATCCAAGAGAGTGAGAAAAGCCCACAATCCAAACTCCTTTATCATCTTTGAGAACTCCCCCACAACCAGCTTTGTGTGTATCCATTGTGACAGCACCATCAGTGTTGAATTTAACCTAGCCGTGTGGAGGAGGTATCCATTTTGGGATAGCAGCCTCTACCTCATTTTCAAGACTAAGAGCTTCTTCATGCATAACAAAAGATTTCCAAGTGTGGGAAATATCCATAATAGGATCCTTAGGCTTTAGGTATTCAAACTAAAACATGAAACAATTCCTCCACTTCCAGAGCTTCCAAATTGTTACTCCCCAAATTAAGCTCCAGTTAGAAGAAGAGTTGGAAAATGAATTTGGCTTCAAGTTTCGAGACACCCACTCCTTTAAGTCTAATGAAAAGAAAATTAGGTGGTGTTTTGGTGGTAGCAGCTTACGCCAAATCTGTTGAGAATAAATACAATCTCTGATTATATGTAGTACATCCTCCTCTTTAGATTCACACCACAAGCATAGTGAAGAGCAGCTCGCCTAATAACTTCTCCAGCTATTGGTAGGAACTCTATTATGATATGTGAGCCAAATAAAGAAACGAATTCGTTCTACCCCTTTCCATTTCCAGATTACTTTATAAAGAGGATCAAGCAATTCCACTGGTGGTTTCTCAATCATAAAATAAGCACTCTTGATTGAAAATAAACCATTAGTAGTTCCATTCCACAACATAATATCCTCATCGGCTGCTTGAGAAGGAGGCATTATAGATATTAATTTAGAAAGTACTTCTTTTGAAACGATGAATGATAAGTTGACAAAGTCCCATGCACCATAGCGAATCCATTTTGTGACTTTTGAATTTAATTCCTCATCAGAAAGTGGTCTCAAAATCATATCTTTGATTTTCTTGTCAGCGAATAACCACTTATCTTCAAAGAAAAGGATAGACTCTCCATTCCTAAGTTGCCATCTTGTTCCTTCTTCCACATAAGCTTTAAGCTGGCAAATAAATTTCCATAACTGTGAATCCCCTTTCTTAATGTTCAACAGATTTTCATCTGATCTATACATATATTTCTTTTGTAATAGCTTAGCCCATAGACTATTAGAACCAGTAATTAGGTTCCAAGCAGCTCAGTACCACAGGCTTTATTAATTGAGGAGAGCCTCTTAATTCCAAATCCTCTGTGAACATTGTATTTTGTCCGGTCATTTTTTAAATTTAATAAAAATAATAATAAATAATTAAAAAAATATAAAAATATAAAAATGAAATTTAATCCTTTTTTAGGATTATATTTTCAAAAAAAAAAATCTTGCTTAATTTTTTTAAATCTCTCCTAAATTATCTCAATTGTTCAAAAATATTGAGAGTCAACTTTTGAGAGTTAATTCTTCTCTCCTTAAAACTTATTTTTTATTAAATATATATATATATATATATATCTATGTGTGTGTGTGTGTGTGTTAATTTAATTTTTAAAAAGGGATGAGCAAACTGGAAGAAAGGGGGAGGGACCGAAAGGAAAGAAAACATAAGAAAAAAATAGACAAAATAGAGATAGAGAGGAGAAAGAGAGAAGACCGAAAACTGGAGAGGGGAACAGACGAGAAAACAGACGAAAAACATAGCACAGAGGGAGAGAAACAAAAAGGTAGAAAAAATAGAAAAGAGAGCACGAGAATGAGAGCAGAAAATCGAGAAAGCTTTAGCGATAAAGCACAGAAGAAAAAACAGATAGCAACAGAGTAAAAACTGAGAGGAAAAGAGCATTGACCTGAGAGGAAAAGAGAAGAAAAATAGAGCCTGGATAGTGATGAGCGAGAGAAAAGCCGAGGAAGGAGAGAGCACCGAGAAGGAGAGTAGAGGATTGAGAAGAGCGAGGGAGAGACCGAGAGAGAAGTTTGGATGGAGAACGAGAGAGAGAAGGAGAAGAAGTTTGAGAAAGAAGAGAGACTGAAGGAGAGATGGAGAACTAGAGGTTTAAGCAAGGAAGAGACTGAGAGAAGATAAACTGGAGGAAAAAGAGATAGAGAGGGAGAGTGAGAGAGCACAGATAAGAAAGGAGAGGAGGATCTAAAAAGGAGAGAGAGACCAAAGAAGAAAAACAGAGCACATATAGAGAACGCTAGACGCACACACAGAGAGTACCGAGAAGGAGAGAAGAGACTGAGAAGGAGAAAGCTGGACAGTGATAAGTGAGATTCGAAGAGACCGAGGAAGGAGAGAAGAGGGAGCTGAGGATCTAAAAAAGGAGAGAGAGATGGAGATGATGAAAGCATTGTCTTGAGTGGAAGAAGAATGCATGTCTGGAATCACGGGCTGTTGCAACTTGAGGACGTGGTCATTAATAGTTAAATCAGGTAATCTTTAAATCATGTCATCTCCCTTAATTTGGATTTGCTAATGAACATATGTGTGTGTGTATATCTTGATAGATATTGAGGGTGTCGATTGATTTTGATATACATTAAAGATTTAGAGATCAAATATTTTATGTAGAATTTAGAACATACCCAAGAGATGTTTGATAAAAAAAAGAGCCTGTGAAAATATTGTTGATAATTTGTGAGGTTAATTGTGGTTTGGAGCCGTGTCTATTGTGGTTATGATCTTGCTCAAAGTTTATGCCAAATCTAATTTTTTTTAGAATATATCCTTAAGTCAAAAGAATAGTGAATCATCAAATTAATTTATTCATTCCATTACCTTTATTGCATAAGTTGTTTAGCCAACTATAATATTATGCACCGATTATAAATGCAAATATTTTAATTATCTATTTGTCGTGTGAAATTTTAAAAATCTTTGTAGGTATTTAGAATAATTTCATACTGTGAAAATCAATAAGATTTCACAGATGAGGATCAATTGGATAGGTATTTATATGAATTTCAAAAGCTCATTATTAAAATTAATTTTTTTATAATAAATATTTAAGTTTCACGTGAGATTTCAAGAATTTTCATAGAGAATTAAATTAATTGCCTTATCCTGTAGGATAATAAATTCTCAAAGATATCATGATTCACAATTTGTATGGTAAATACATAAACAAATTTTTGTAAATAAAATAATAAACATTTTTTAATATTAATTAATTAAGTTAATAAATTTGAGTTATGATCACATTTTCTAATTAGATATTTTGGTCATGTGAGATTTTAGAAATTCTGTAGACCTTTAGGATAATCATACTACCGTGAGAGTTAATAAGGCTTCGTAAGTATAACGATTAAGATTTGTTATTTAAAAATATGCATTGTATAATTACGTATTAAAATATATTTAAAGTGAATAAATTTAATCCTTTTATTGTGTGAGATTTCAAATCTCTGCAGATATTTAGGATAATCTCGTATCGTGTAAATCAATAAGGTTTCACAGATATGAGAGTAAAACTTATATGTTAATATGGGTTCAAAGGGCCCATCATTAAATTAAATCTCTTTTATAATCCAGATAATTTATTTAAGTCTCATATGAGATTTCAAGAATCTTCGTAGAGATTTAAATTAATCGCATTATTGTGGGAGTAATAAGTCCTCGCAGATGTAGTGGTTTTCAATTTCTATAATAAATAAGGAATTTTTGTAAATAATCATATAATGCACAATTTAAAAAAATTAATTAATCAAATTAATGTATTTAAATTGTAATCATATTTACCAATTATATCTTTTAGTCATGTGAGATTTTTGAATCTCTGTAGACTTCTAAGATAATCGTATTATCATATGAGTTAATAAGACTATGTAAATATAACGATTAAGTTTTTAATATATATATATATATTAAACTAATTACATTAATGATGTAGTTAAATAAATTTAATTCCTTCATCGTGTGAGATTTTAGAATTTTCGCATATATTTAGGATGATCATATTACCGTATAAGCTAATAAGGCTTTGCAGGTATGACGATTAAGACTCTTTAAAAATATGTACATACATGCTTAAAAAATTATTGTTAATACTTAAATATATATATAAGAATATAAATAAATAAATTAAATTACTAAATTCTTTTATCGTGTGAGATTTCAAAATCTCTGCAGATACTTAGAATAATTGCATTACCATATGAACCAATAAGGATCTGCAGGTATAGCAGTTAAAATTTTCAATCATAAAACATAAAAGAAAAATAATTTTAAACTCTTGTCCTTCTTTATTCCAAAAATTTAAAAATTAAGAAAATAATTAAAATTAAATCACTTTTTTTTTGCAATTTAAAACACACATATCAAAATTTCAAAAATTATTTTATTTGTAAAATGGTGAATTATTTTTAATTAATTTTTCTTCAAAAAAATATTTTCACCAACAAATTTTTAAGCTCAAACTATGTGGACTTTGATCCCTATCACAGGGTATGTAGGCCTTAGAGTCAAATTCTAAGTCAAGTCCTCTCTCGTAAATAAGTAAACATTTCTCACCTAATTATTATCATTTTTATATCAAACACATGAATATAAAAGGGATAATTAAAATAATTATAAAATTATATTAATAGAGCACAACAAATTTCAGATAACCGTTCTAACAAACGGGTGTTGTAGGGTGTCTAACATCGTCCTTACATTCAACCGACTTTCGACCCTATTCTCTGATTTCACAGACCACCCTTATCCTCCTTTTAAACGATTTCTCGAGATTTCTC